GCACTTTGGGAGGCCGAGGCGGGTGGATCACGAGGTCAAGAGATCGAGGCCATCCTGGTCAACATGGTGAAACCCCGTCTCTACTAAAAATACAAAAAATTAGCTGGGCATGGTGGTGTGTGCCTGTAATCCCAGCTACTCAGGAGGCTGAGGCGGGAGAATTGCCTGAACCCAGGAGGCGGAGGTTGCGGTGAGCCGAGATCGCGCCATTGCACTCCAGCCTGGGTAACAAGAGCGAAACTCCGCCCCCCCCCAAAAAAAAAAGATATTAAAAAAAAATAATAATGATGGGACAGTGGAGAGCTCAAGGGTGGGAAGCTCTTCTGCAGCCTTTTCATGACAGCTCCTCCGTTTCTCCCCACGGACCAGCAGCAAAGCCCAAGTTATGCGTGGACATTATCACCCTCAGTGGTTGCTTGTCCCACCACGGAAACCCGCAGTTCCCCGCAGTGACAGAGCACAAAACAGAAAACAGAGGAGAATTACCCTGGCTGGTTTGCATCTCAAGTCATCAGACCTACCCGGGTGCTCGTGTCACATGGCGAGGCCAGGGGATGGGAGGTGTCTCTGCAGGCGAATCCCAACGGCGTTCTCTGCACTGTGAACACGCAGGGTTTAGCGCCATTGTGGGAGGCTCCCGCTACAGGAGCCACTGAGATTACAAGATTAGCTGCGTCCAAACCACATTTGGAGAAAAATAAAATGAGAAAGGGAGATACAGGCCCGGCGGCGGCACAGTGGCTCATGCCTCTAATCCCTAGTACTTTGGGAGGTGGAGGAGGGAGGATTACTTGGGGTCGGGAGTTCAAGACCAGCCTGGGCAATGTACTGAGAGTCCCCTCCCCTCCACCTCCCCCGTCTTAAAAAAAAAATGGAAAGAAAGAAAGGAAGATATAGGGAAGGAAAAGGAAGGGAGGGTTGGGAGGTCTCTTCGATGTGGTGATTTCTTTCTTTTTTTGAGATGAAGTCTCACTCTTGTCGCCCAGGGTAGATGGCAATGGTGCAATCTCGGCTCACTACAACCTCTGCCTCACAGGTTCAAGCGATTCTCCTGTCTCAGCCTCCCAAGCAGCTGGGATTACAGGTGTCTGCCTCCATGCCCAGCTAATTTTTGTAGTTTTGTAGTTTCTCCAGAGTTCAGGCTGGTCATGAACTCTTTCTTTTGAGGCAGAGTCTCACCCTGTTGCCCAGGCTGGAGTGCAGTGGCACCATCTCAGCTCCCTGCAACCGGCTTCCAGCGATTCTCCCGCCTCAGCCTCTTGAATAGCCGGGATTATAGGCATGCATCGCCACACCCGGCTGCTATTTGTATTTTTAGTAGAGATGGGGGTTTCACCACCTTGGCCAGGCTGGTCTCGAACTCCTGACCTCAGGTGATCCACCCTCCCACCTCGGCCTCCCAAAGTGCTGGGATTACAGGCCTGAGCAACTGTGCTGGGCCCGAGGTGATTTCTAAGTAGAGATCTGAGGGAGTAAGGAGCCAGCTGGTGGGTGTCTGAGGGAGTCTGTCCCTGGCAGAGTGACCAGCCAGTACCAGGTCCTGAGCCAAACAGAAACTTGGCCTCTCACTCCAGAACTGCGGCCTGACCACTTCATATATGTATATATATTCACATATATGCTATATACATATATACTATACATTCATATATATCCTGTGTACATGTATGTATATATTCATGTATATGTAGAGTATATATGAATATTTGTATAGAGTATATGTATGAACATATGTATTCAGTATATAAATATATACATACATGAAGTGATCACATATATATAATATATATATATTTTATGATGGGGTCTTGCTCGGTTGCTCAGATGGGAATGCAGTGGCACGATCATAGCTCACTACAGCCTCAACCTCCTGGGCTTACGCGATTCTCCTGCCTCAGCCTCCCAAGTAGCTGAGACTACAGGTGCATGACCACGCTCGGCTAATTTTTAAATTTTTTGTAGAGACTGGGTGTCCCCGTGTTCCTAGGTTGGTCTCCAACTCCTGGGCTGAAGCGATCCTCCCACCTCAGCCTCCAAAAGTGCTGGGATCACAAGCGTGAACCATGGTGCCTGACCTCATATTTTGAATAGGCCAAAACAGAGCACCGGAATCCCCTTCCCCCCCCCCCACCCCATATGGCAGGTTGCTTCCCACTTACCTTGAGGGCATCTGTCCCGAGCACATGCAGCAGCCCTGCTGGCCTCCCTGTCTGCCCCAGCTCTGCCTGAGAGCATCCATTCTTCCCTGGGTCTGGAATACTCTCTCCCACCCCGGGCTTGGATCTGGCAGTCCTGTACTAGCCTCAGGGCCTCTGTTGTCCCGCTTTCTGCTCTCAGAGCCTCTGTCACTGGGCTGGAAGAGCAGTTAGGAAGATTCGGTGATAAACGCATAGCCTGGGGTTAGGACCATCAAGGGGGCACAGTAAGTTCGCTCCAGAAAGAGGACTTGAAGCTTCGTTTGCATTGCACGTTATTTAATATTCAGGAAAATGTAACCAGCCCACACCTAAGAATTGGGGAGAGAGCTCTAAAGATTCCACCCCCACTCACCTCCCACCTCCCACTCCTCATCTCCAGCCACAAGCCACTACCCGACAGGGCTAAAAACGCATAAAACAATGCAACTACTCGCCACCTATCCCTCCCGAAGTTCCACCTTCGGAGACTCAAGCCCCCACGCCCTCCTAAATATCCCCGCCCCAGCTGGGACCCCAAATTGCCCATGGCTGTGCAATTCCGCCCTCCTCGGCAGCGGGACCGAAAGGGTTAAGCGGAGGCTCCTGGCTTGTTGAGTGACAGCTTGGCCGGCGGCTGGGGAGAGCCGACCAATCAGCGAAGGCGTACGCGACCCACGTGCGTAAACGGCCTCGCGATTGGCCAGCGCCGCCAGAGGCCTGCCCCCGGAGCCCGAACCCACGTGCAGCTACCGTGCCTTCATTGACCGGCTTCGCGGTCCAGGTGGCAGCTAGTTGGGACCTCTGGGCGGGGCGGGACGGGACGGGGCGGGGACGGGGCGGGGACAGGGCGGGGCGGGGCGGGGCCCGATGGGTCAAATGGCCCCCGTGGAGGGAAAGAGGAGTTTCCTCTTTGCCCGAACTTGGCTGACCTCTGCTGCTTCCGCCCTGTGAGAGACGTGAGTTGCCAGGCGTGCTCCTCGGGGTTAGGGGGACTCCAAGGTTCCCGGGTCGGGGAAGAGGCTGCAGGGATGTGGAGGGGCGGGCTGCGGCAAGGAAGGAGCTGGGTGCTGCCGCAGGGATGGAGGTGGAGAGAGGTCATTTCTTCTGTCTGATGAATTACCCCTAGTGCACCTGGCTAACTCCTATTCATCCTTCAAAACCCCTTTCTAGAGATCTCCCTGCGCTTTAGGAAATTGTCTCAAAACTAAGGGTGAGGTTTGGCGACCTTCTCAGGGCTCCCCCATCTCCGACTGTCCCCAGCAGGGAGTGTGTGTGTCCAGCCCCATCATCACCCCAACCTCCTAGAGTGAGGGATGAGGGGCAGGGCTCAGTTCTTTCTGGGGCTCCACCCCCATACATCTGGGCAGCTGGAGGCATTGGTAAGTGAGGCCAGGACCTAGGGAACGCAGTGGGGAGCCGTAGGACTGGATCTCTGGGGACTTACTAAACTGGGAGGTGCAGGAGGCCCCGGGGGTGGGGTAGGGGTGGGTTCCTTCCCTGGCACTGTTGTATTTTCTGTCTCTCAGGACTTGCTATCTCCTTGTTTTAGACTCTGGCTGAAGTCCTGGAGGCTTAACTGCCTGAAGATGACCTCTAGTGAACAGCCCAGTCCGAAGGGCACCCCAAAGGGCATTTTGGTGAGGAGGGCATGGGGTGGCATCAGCCCTCACGGGAAGCCCGGGCCCTATGCAGTTCGACTCCTTTCTGAGCCTGTAACCACCTGTGACCTGGGCTGGCCCCATCCAGGCCTCTCAGCTGAAGACAATACCGGTCACTGCTACACTCAAGACAGGTGCCAAGGAGCTGGGTTTTTTGTTTTTTTTTTTCTTCAAAGTGAGTCCAGATCTGAAGGGAGCTGTTTTTTTAAAAAAATCAAGTGTAGGCTGGACATAGGGCCTCAGAACTGTCATCCCATCATCTTGGGAGGCGGAGGCAGAAGGATCACTTAAGCCTAGGAGTTTGAGGCCAGCCTGGACAAGGTAGTGAGACCCCCATTGCTACAAAAAATACAACTAAAAGAATCAGCGGGGCCTAGTGGCATGCCCCATGTAGTTCCAGCTACCTGGGAGGCTGAGGCAGGGGGTTTGCTTGAGCTCAAGGGGTGAGAGGCTACAGTGAACTATGACTGCCACTGCACTCCAGCATTGGTGTCAGTGAGATCCCATGTAAAAAACATTTCCGCTTCCAACCACCTACGTGATAAAAACGCAGGAACACAACACACATTCGGTTATATTTTATAGCACGCCCCACTCACTGCACCTTACTTCCCAGAGATGACCATTTCCAAGTTTAGGCTCTCGGAGCTGAGCAAACTATTTTTTTTTTATAAAGGGGTCAGATGGTGGATATAGTATTTTATTTTGAGACTTTATTGAGTCTTGGTTTTGTCACCCAGGCTGGAGTACAGTGGCACGATCTCAGCTCACTACAACCTCCATCTCCTGGGTTCAAGTGGTTGTCCTGCCTCAGCCTCTGGGATTACAGGCGCTCGCCACCATGCCCAGCTAATTTTTCTATTTTTACTAGAGACAGGGTTTGGCCATGTTGCCCAGGCTGGTCTCGAACTCTTGACCTCAGGTGATCGGCCCATCTCGGCCTCCCAAAGTGCTAGGATTGCAGGCGTGGGCCGCCACGCCCAGCTCCAGGCTTCGGTTTTCAAAAATATTTGGTGCTTCTAGCTTTATCACAAGAATGTGGTGAATATTTTAGACTTCAGGCCCAAGTGCAAAATGGAAGATGCTCTTTTAGGTACTAAATTAACAGAAGACAAATCCAGGTTTTAGGATGCCGCGCCCTACCTTCTGCAAGGCTGGTCAAATTCCTTCAGCTTGTGTTACATTGCTGCAAAAGTTATTTCGAAAATGGCAAAAGCCAGCCGGGCGCGGTGGCTCACACCTGTAATCCCAGCACTCTGGGAGGCCGAGGAGGGTGGATCACCTGAGGTCAGGAGTTCAAGACCAACCTGGCCAGCATGGTGAAACCCCATCTCTACTAAAAATACAAAATATTAGCCAGGTGTGCTGGCAGGCACCTGTAATCCCAGCTACTCAGGAGGTTGAGGCAGAAGAATCACTTGAACCTGGGAGGAAGATGTTTCAGTGAGTTGAGATCAAATGTCTGCTCTCTAGCCTGGGCAACAAGAGCAAAACTCCATTTCAAACAAAAAAAAGCAAAAGCAATTACTTTTGCACCAGCCTAATAGCTGCACCTTGGTTGAGAGGGAGACCTGGGCGCTTGGGTGTCTGGGGCACTGTCAGTTTTACATAACCTTGCTTTGATGTCTCCAGCCTCATCCTGGGATGTCAGATTCCGAGCGCTGTCCACCGCTGAATTACCAGGGCATTCTAAATCGGCTCAAGCAGTTCCCCAGGTGAGAGCAATTCGAGGTGCTGGGTAGGTGGTCTCACGCTGGGAAGGAGTCCCACCTGGCCTATCTCCTTAGAGTCCCGTTGAGTGGTCTCCGGGAGCCGCTGGCCCGAAAGACAGGCTCAGTAACGGGAAGCCATGCTGATACCCAGCACGGAGAGCCCAGCGACACCCAGCCCAGCTTTGGTTTAATATTTTGACTTTCCTGTTTGACATGGATTTGTTGGCTTTCAATTTTTTCTTTT